GGTATCAGAATTTCTGATTCAGAAATAGCTTGGTAACTATCAGGTTGGTAACTATCACAAGGTATACTGAAATGGCAAAGACGAGTGTTCAGTTGCGAGATTGAGGTTGGAATGTCGTTCAGCTTATATAAACCATGAACTTCGACAGCACGCATGCTCACTATCGTTCACGGTGGTAGAAGACAGCGTGACAGTGTGTTGACGGGTATACTCGGTGATTGAGTTGTCCCTGGCAGGGGTTTCGGTCGGGACACTGGTTGACTCAAGAGCCTCAAGGCGAATGGGTTGAAAAGTATATTGAACTCCATGTCAGTATCAATACGCTGGATTGGCGCTTGTCGACATCGACAGGAACTTACAATGTAAGGAGATTCTATTTTGCCTGAAGCCGAATTGGTTATTATTGATACATACTCCAGGAAAGTAAGCGATATCCTATCTACACCTTTTCAATCTCCAACTCAGCAGTTGAAAGAACAAATTAGATAGATGAAATTTGATTTCCGACTAGTGAAAGGAGTTTTTCATGGAATGAAAGTTCAAATTCACATTTGAACACCAGTTGTCCAAATAATGCGCTGTGTGTGAGCGGGAAGCCCAATTTTCATGTCCACACATGTTGTGGAACCATTGAAATGGAGACAGCATGATTGTGCGCAGTAGAGTCTACTGAGTAGACAGAGTTCATCTATTCACGACTACAACACATGCCCCTACGCAATCACCTGTAAAAATATTCTCGGAAATCATTTCTGTCCAAATTAATACTAACGGTTAATGAATACTCACGAGTTTGTTATATCACGACAGTCGTGATATAACAAACTCGTGAGTTTGTTATATCACGAGTTAGTCGTGACACGACTTCAGTTTCACCAGCGAGAAATGTGGAAGTTACTCCATGGTCAACCCAACACTATCTGTGCCGATAATGACTATATGATGACGAGACAATTGAAAAGTCAATGAACAATTCGTGGAATGGAGCTAGAGCCTCGAACGACAGCAAGCCAGCAACAAAGAATGAACCGCTATGCATGGATTCATGCCAATTTGAGAGTCTCGGTTCGAAGCATATTGATGATTTTATAACTATGAATGGTAGGGTAGATATCTGTATGCCATTGACTATTGCCTGGAGTCCCATAAGGATTTACGGATCCACAAGGAATGGACTCGCTCACGCATAGCATGTGCAAATACAAGGCGATAAGAAGTGATCACCAGTGCAGGTGCAGACCTTAGGATCACAACCAGATCCGCAAGCCGACGGAGCGCAAGGAGAGTTCTTCAGTGCACGGAGGTGCGGCTGGGTATCCTCAGCCTGGAAGACGTCGAGGATGGCAATCAACATACAGATGATTTTAACCATAGCCGAAGGGTTAATAAGCTGTCGAAGTGAATTGGATATGAGGAGCAGATGAGCATTCGCTTTTTCCGGTATTCGGGGCGCGAACTTCGCGCACGTATGCACGAATCTCGCTCGCCTCTCGCTCGCCCATTATTCGTTACATGAAACGGTTCGCTCAGGCTGAAATGGATAAGATAAGAAGCCTTATTATCAATTATGGCTTTCCTAAGTGTTGCTGTGTCAACCAGTGCGGGTGTTACTACTAGCAGGATGTCACTCAGCTCAGGTGGAGTACCATGAGTTACGGCGGCACGCATGTTCAAACTCACGCACTGCAGTGGGAGTTCCATTGTGGAACCATCGGGAAGAAGATAGCGTTAATGTGCGTAGTAGACAGAGTTTGTGAACGGGGCTGCTCGGACTCGTCGATTGTCTTGCAGGAATCTGCGACAATAATATCCACTACGTGTAGTACAACCTTCGCCTGGTTTCTATTTTCCCGTGAGTTTAGACGTTTTGGATGTCCGAAAAGGTCATAGACCGGCATACACTATGCTGCATACTACGCTTGAGGGTATTTCTTAAAAATGCTTTCTCCTTCGCCAGAGCCGGAACTGTATGAGCTTCATCGGCAGGCGATTACTTTGAACAGAAACTTCCTCAGATGAGTGTGTGATATGAAGTTCATATTATGAACGTCGACAATGTGAAAGTCAGGTTCTTGTCCATTATCCTTGTTAATCTGGAGTCCAGATGAGTGGACAGATGTCCTTGGAAGCCATTTGGGCAAATCCTTGATGTTGTCCAAACTAGTACCCACGGTGGATAAATAATCAGAAATTATTCGTCAGGAGTATATTTCATCAATATATGTATTCATGAATATCTTCATATGGTATATGGCATATACGTTATCAGCAGCTGATAATCAGCGAATATGCAAAATCTCCAACTCAGCAGTTGAAAGAACAAATTAGATAGATGAAATTTGATTTCCGACGAGCGAAAGGAGTTTTTCATGGAATGAAAGTTCAAATTCACATTTGAACACCAGTCGTCCAAATAATGCGCTGTGTGTGAGCGAGAAGCCCAATTTTCGTGTCCACACATGTTGTGGAACCATTGAGATGGAGATAGCATGATTGTGCGCAGTAGAGTCTACTGATGTTGTGGGTCCAGTTTGCCTGCACCCTTGTAATCTCATCAAACCTTCGCCTTCCTCAGTATAGCGAATGAGCCCAATATCGATTACTGTGCTGCTAAGTGTGGGTATTCGTACAGAACTCAAGTGCAGGTAGTGCGCTTATTGTTATTGTTCTAGGGTCGTAGTATTGGTTGCTCTAGCTCCAGTTCCCTTGTTGTGTTCTTCTTAGAGTTCATCAACCGATACCTTTTTGGTAGCAGCTCCTTGTTACGAACGATTACAACTACGAGATGGTTGGTTCAGCTTCTGGTTCTACCCCCCACTCTGCCCCGAGCGGAGGGGAAGGGCCCTCGGACCCCCTTGGTGCGTCGCGATCCTGAGGAGGCAGCTCAGGAGGCCTATGACGAGTTCATTCGTGCTGAGTTGGGTGAGGCGGCGGCTAATCAGGCGGCCGAAATGGCGAGGCATTCAGTTGAAGAGTATAACCGCGTGCTAGAGGAAAGGTCACCCCCTCAAGCGGCCCTGACACTAAAGCATCAAAGTATGGTTACTGAGGAGGCTGAGGACAACAAGCAGGCCGAGTTATCACAGACGAAAGACATGTTGGCGCCCCTCCTCACTGGTCAGACGTTGCAAGTGGTGACCGCCCAGATGCCGGAGAGATATGATGGGGTCTCCGACCTGCGGATCTGGTTCCGAAGGTTTGAGGCAGATGCCAGGGCGGCCGGTTGGAACGAGCACATGATGGCCGAGAGACTGGGTAGATTCTTCAGGGATTCCTATTTTGACACGTGGGACGAGAATGCTGGCAAGAAGGACTTCGCTGCTGATCGGGAGATGATGTTACAACTCTTTGACCTGATTCGTCCCGACGAGGCCTTGGAGAAGTTCCACGCCTTATCTTGGGACGGGAAGGGTCATGTCAGTCAGTTCATGGCCATCTTGAAGCGGGCCCTGGAGGAGTACGACAAGATGTTACCGGCGGAGGAGAAGCTTCCCCCTTTGGTTAAGATTCGTATGTTGTTGGATCGGCTCATTGCCTGTGCCCCGGAGGGAGCCAGGCCGGTTCTGAGAAGACGTCGACCTAAGGGTATAACTGAGGTCTGCCAGATTATAGAAGATTACAGAGGGAAGCAGTCTCGGACGGCCAAGCATGCTGCGGCGGCTGTGTCCGAGGATGAGCATGGGTGCCCCGGGGCGGTGGCACAACCTTCCCCAGACAAGGACAAGCAGTTGGCTTCGCTTATCGAATCTCAGACTAAGGCTATCAACGCTATGCATACTTCGCAGAATGCCCTGCTTGGGTCCCTGGAGGATATCCTCAAGGCTCAACAAGACCCTGGTCGTAAGGATAAGGACATGCGTGCAGGACTCACGCAGCCCAGGAGACAGCTGGTGCCGTGCGGGATCTGTGAAGGGAAGCATGCATCCTATAACTGTCCTCATAAGAAGTGCAGTGAGGGTTGCTTCATCTGTGGTTCTAAGGCACACTTGTCCCGCTCGTGTCCTGAGCGCCCAGCTCTGCTGGAGAAGATTAAGAAGGGTGAGATGCCGGAACAGGGAAATTAGCGGGGCGGCCGCCCAGCAGCCCCCCGTCGCCAGTCGCTAAAGTCTTGGTCCCTGATAATCATAAGAAAACGTTGACTTTGTACCCTTTTAGAGATGATTCTGGTCTATTCTTGTCTGTAAAACTTGTGTCAAATTTTCAGTCTGTTGGCCCTGTTCGCTGCCTCGTGGATACTGGCTGCTGTGCCACGATGGTAGCACGTGATGTGATTCCTGCTGGCTGCGAAGTTAGCCCCGTGAATGGGCCGTCGTTGATTACAATAGATAAGTCCTCTTGTAAGATTATTGGTGTGGCAACATTAGCGATTAATCTGATTACAGCAACAGGGGTGGGGGAGAGAGCCCGCTCCACTGCTGATGAGTTGAGTATCCCCTTTTTGATTACAGCTCTTATTGTAGAATCGTTGGCGTTCCCCGTGATTTTGGGGCACGACTTCTTAAAATATTTTCAGTTAGATATATTGTATTCAGAGATACCGGTGCGTATTATTGGTCGGAATACGAAGGCAGGCCCGCCTGGTATTCCATGGTTGATGCGAGATGCATTGGATGCCGTTGACAGAGGTGTACGGTCGAGGCGGTGTTGCCAGGGTGGCAACGCGACCTCCTATATAGATTCTGTGTTGAGCAGTCCTCCTTCGATGACGGAGCCGGTGCCTCCAAAGATAGCTTTGATGGCTGCCCAACAACGTCAAGTGCTAGGACCTACTGGAAGATTGGTAGCTCAAGGTGTCCAGACCGTCGCACCCTTGTAATCTCATCAAACCTTCGCCTTCCTCAGTATAGCGAATGAGCCCAATATGGATTACTGTGCTGCTGCTAAGTGTGTGTATTCGTACAGAACTTAAGTGCAGGACCTGTACTGCAGGTAGTGCGCTTATTGTTATTGTCCGAGGGTCGTAGTATTGGTTGCTCTAGCTCGAGTTCCCTTGTTGTGTTGTTCTTAGAGTTCATCAACCGATACCCCGACACCTTTTTCGGATTTGGCTGTGTACACGTGCAGCTGCTTACGGCACGTGCACGCGCGCACAAGATGTTTGGAATAGGCGCATCCGACTGGGGGGGGCTCGAATTCGATGGTTGCAGGGACGCCTGCATGGTGTTGTTCTAAGAGTTTATCAACCGATACCCCGACACTGAGTAGACAGAGCTCATCGATTCACGACTACAACACACGCCCCTACGCAATCGTCTGTAAAAATATTCTCGGAAATCATTTCTGTCCAAATTAATACTAACGGTTGATGAATACTCACGAGTTTGTTATATCACGAATTCAGTTTCACCAGCCAGAGATGTGGAAGTTACTCCATGGTCAACCCAACACTATCTGTGCAGGTAATGACGATATGATGACGAGACAATTGAAGAGTAAATAAACAATTCGTAGAATGGAGCTAGAGACTCGAACGACAGCAAGCCAGCAACAAGAAATTAACCGCTATACATGGATTCATGCCAATTTGAGAGTGACTCGATTAGAAGCATATTGACGATTTTATAACTATGAATGGTAGGGTAGATATCTGTATGTCATTGACTATTGCCTGGAGTCCCATAATGATTTACGGATCCACAAAGAATGAACTAGCTCACGCATAGCATGAGCAAGTACAAGACGATATGAAGGGCGTATGGGTGCAGGTGCAGAGCTCAGGATCACAACCAGGTCCGCAAGAACTATAAGGGCAAGGAGTGTTCTTCAGTGCACGGAGGTGCGGCTGAGTATCCTCAGCCTGGAAGACGTCGAAGATGGCAATCAACATACAGAGGATTTTAACCATAGTCGGAAAGTTGATAAGCTGTCAAAGTGAAATGGCAACGAAGAGTAGACGAATGTTCGGTTGTGAGACTGAGATCGGGATGACATTCAGCTGAGCTAGAATATCACGAACTACGGCAGCAAGCATGCTCAAATTCCCGCGCGGAAGCTCCACTGTGGAGCCATGGAGAAGTAGACAGCATTATTGTACGGAGTGGACAAAGTTTGTGGGCGTGTCAACTCGAAGTCATCGATTGGAGGTAGTCAATACTAGTTACTCTGGCAACATTATAATATCATGTTGGATTATCTATATCGTGATGATATATACAACCCGACGGTAATCTTCAAAAACAGATACACACGTGAACTAAGCTTAGACTCTCACGTTCGCCATATACATGTATCTGTCTACTCGCTCCAGCTGGGCCGCACAGCCTGACAACAAATGCAGCTAGTGGTGGCCGAACGGAGTCAATTTACACATACCGAACAGTCGATATAACGCAAATCATCGATTTGATATTGCTATGACTTCTCAGATCCTGCGTTGCATATGCCGTCATAGGTTCTGCGTGCGTAAATGACCTATCGGCGTAAGACATATCCATTTTCGCATTGTCGTGCATGCAAGTACAATATTGTTGAGTGTTTGAGTTGAGTCTTAACTAAAGCTTGACTAGGGCGCACAAAAAGCCTTTGTATATATGTGCATTTGTTACATCAGCTGACGCGACTCGCCTAGTTGAGCTAAACGCTACTTTGGACAGCTAGAATTGTCATACTTCTAGTCCATGGATAATTGACAGCCGTTTTCATGACATTAAGACAACTGGACAACACAATTTGAACACCAGTTGTCCAAATGATGTCAATGTGGTGGAGTGAAAAGCGCAGTTCCCGTGTCCGCATATCGTCCTAGTCAATCAACTGGGCACTTGTCCTAGGAATTTCCTGGATCAGCAGGTCGTTGATCATAGTCCTAGACCATTTTCTAGTAGGGAATCATTTGGAAAAATCGTTGATATTTTCCAAATCAGCGCTCAAGGTTGATGAATAATCGGGGATTATATTGTATTTCATCAACATACGTATTTATGAATATATGTTTATATATTATTAGATTGTAGGCGACAGTTTCTCCATGGTGAACCCTGTGAGAATTTTACCGGGCTCCGCCTCATGAACACGACTCATTGAAGATGCCATTAAGTCTCAAGGTCAATAACTAACTACTAAGACATAAATCTGATGGAGATGGGGTCTACTACGACTCAGACTTGGGTTGTACGAATAAAAGACTGGCCATTGCTCGGCCCGAGCAAAAACACGCGTGCACATGATTGCACGCAAGCACACCGTGGCGCACACAACCTGTGCGTGAGGCCCACTATCGACCATCCATCAAACCACAAACCCAACCCTATTTGGCCAGATAACAGAGATAATGCGACGAGAAAAGCCAACAATCGAGCCACTGAAATCAAAGCTAAGTTCAGAGCTACTACCGGCTTTCACCCAACCAGCAACAAAGGATAAACCGCTATGCATGGACTTATGCCAAGTGCCGAACTACGGAATCTTAGACATGGCTTGAGGATTATCGATGATGTTAGATGAGTATAAATGGTAGACTAAATAATCGAATCCCATCAACCATCTCCCTGATGATACAGATCCATCATGGCTCTACTCTATGACGAATAACACTCACAAACGCACGCCCAGTCATCAATAAAGCAGCTGCAGACTTTAGGATCACAATCAGGTCCACAGACTATCGCCTGGCAAGGAGATCCATTCAGTTTACGGAGGTGCGGCGGAGTTTCCTCAGCCTGAAAGACGCCGAGGATGCCAATCAACACGAAGAGGATTTCAACCATAGTCACGAGGTTAATAAACTATCGGACTGAGGTATCAGAATTTCTGATTCAGAAATAGCTTGGTAACTATCAGGTTGGTAACTATCACAAGGTATACTGAAATGGCAAAGACGAGTGTTCAGTTGCGAGATTGAGGTTGGAATGTCGTTCAGCTTATATAAACCATGAAATTCGACAGCACGCATGCTCACTATCGTTCACGGTGGTAGAAGACAGCGTGACAGTGTGTTGACGGGTATACTCGGTGATTGAGTTGTCCCTGGCAGGGGTTTCGGTCGGGACACTGGTTGACTCAAGAGCCTCAAGGCGAATGGGTTGAAAAGTATATTGAATTCCATGTCAGTATCAATACGCTGGATTGGCGCTTGTCGACATCGACAGGAACTTACAATGTAAGGAGAATCTATTTTGCCTGAAGCCGAATTGGTTATTATTGATACATACTCCAGGAAAGTAAGCGATATCCTATCTACACCTTTTCAATCTCCAACTCAGCAGTTGAAAGAACAAATTAGATAGATGAAATTTGATTTCCGACTAGTGAAAGGAGTTTTTCATGGAATGAAAGTTCAAATTCACATTTGAACACCAGTTGTCCAAATAATGCGCTGTGTGTGAGCGGGAAGCCCAATTTTCATGTCCACACATGTTGTGGAACCATTGAAATGGAGACAGCATGATTGTGCGCAGTAGAGTCTACTGAGTAGACAGAGTTTATCGATTCACGACTACAACACATGCCCCTACGCAATCACCTGTAAAAGTATTCTCGGAAATCATTTCTGTCCAAATTAGTACTAACGGTTGATGAACACTCACGAGTTGGTTATATCACGAGTTTCACCAGCCAGAGATGTGGAAGTTACTCCATGGACAACCCAACACTATCTGTCCAGTTAATGACGATGTGACGATGAGACAATCAAAAGTCAATAAACAATTCGTGGATGGAGCTAGAGACTCGAACAACAGCAAGCCAGCAACAAAAAATGAACCCTTATGCATGGATTCATGCCAATTTGAGAGTGACTCGGTTCGAAGCATATTGACGATTTTATAACTATGAATGGTAGGGTAGATATCTGTATGCCATTGACTATTGCCTGGAGTCCCATAATGATTTACGGATCCACAATGAATGGACTCGCTCACGAATAGCATAAGCAAGTACAAGGCGCTAAGAAGTGATCACTAGTGCAGATGCAGACCTTAGGATCACAACCAGATCCGCACTTCGACATAGCGCAAGAAGGGTTCCTCAGTGCACGGAGGTGCGGCTGAGTATCCTCAGCCTGGAGGACGTCGAGGATGGCAATCAACATACAGAGGATTTTAACCATGGCCGAAGGGTTAATAAGCTGTCAAAGTGAATTGGATATGAGGAGCAGATGAGTATTCATTTCTTCGGTATTTGGGGCGCGAACTTCGCGCACGATTTTAACCATAGTCACAGGGTTGATAAACTATCGGAGTAAAATGGCAACGAAGAGTAGACGAGTGTTCAGTTGCGAGATTGAGATTGGAATGTCGTTCAGCGTATATAAACCATGAACTTCGACAGCACGCATGCTCACTATCGTTCACGGTGGTAGGAGACAGCGTGACAGTGCGCAGTAGACAGAGTTTGTTGACGGGTATACTCGGTGATTGAGTTGTCCACCGATGCCTATGAATTGATCGATACCAGTGACTCTGGCAACACAATCCCGAAAGCTAATACAGACAACCCAAAAGCAATCTTTGGGAGATCCATGAACGTTTATAAATGCGCTCGATCCTTCGATGCATATACACGCAAGCTACGCTTAAGATTACTGTCCATCTGTCTACTTCGCACAAGCAGAGCCGCACAGTCGGACAACGAAGGTTGCTAGTGGTGCCCGAAAGGCATCGATTAATTGATGTGATGCCAAATTCTCCAGTAACCAATGAGAAGAAGTACGAGTGCAAGACTTCTCGTATATACTTGTCTCAGGCGAAGTACACAAAACTAAGTGTCTTCCATGTGTGACAGCATCACTACTCATACTGGGACCCTAGCATCAGGTGTTAATGGGCGCAGAAGCTTTGTGTTAGAATGGTCGACCGAACATTGACTCAGTCTGCCTATTGCAACACTTTCCTCGAACTCAGAGCTCACGTATCCAGACTCAGTAAGAGCACATTGCACCGATCACACACTTATACTATAACTATCTCAACTCACACCTTGGTCGTGCTCGATATTTCTGGCTAAGTATCCCACTCCGGGTCGCGTGGGTTTGGTAGGGTGGTTCAGTAGGAACCGACCTTAGAAGTACCGATGAGAGAAAGACACTCAGGTGCACAGAGTCTGAGTGACACTCAGTGAGTGTGCCGATAGTGCGTGCGTCACGCACGTGCGTGCCTGCACTCTCTGCGGTACTTGCTCCCGGGAGTGGTCGGATTGGGATAAAGTGTATAGGCCCTCTCAGCCCTCGGCTATTCAACGCTGTCCAGCAGGCACGGGGGGTCCACTCGCCCTACGGTTTCATTACCGCAGTACGAATTGCTAGCGAAGCGACGCGACCATCCGCATCGGTATTCAACTTAGGTTAACAAGTTAACCTTTATTAAATCGTTGGTCATAAAGAAGCTAAAGGAGCTCTTGCACGTCAACTCATTGCAGCTATAGAAGGGAGCAGATTCTCCTTCCATATCTCATTCCCTGTATATCTAACGCAGTGAGGAAATAATTCAATAACGATGGAAAAGACAACAGACTCCACGAATTCTCCGACACAAAAGAACCTGTCCCGCGCTATTATCGCGGCGGTAGCGATCTCAGTATTGATTCAGTACTGACCTCGAATTGCAGGTATCCACTAGGAAGGAACAATACATAGACCTTACACATGATTCATAGTATTATTAACATATCAAAAAAATAACATTCACAACCTATAGTACAACAGCCGTGCGCTATACGACGTAGAAAACGCCTTTCATGTCAAGTCTCAGGTGACAGACTCAAACAACGAAACACAAGTAATAGTAAAACATGTAAAACTTGACGGCCTCGTACGCAATTATAATGATCTTCATCACCTTAGTTTTTCGATACTGCTTTCGGTCTGAAATGACCATCTGAAAATAAACATGAATGATATCGATCAATGAAGTTTCACGCGAAGTTTTATGTGAAGTGTCGATACTTGCGCTATGCAGCAGTCATGGAATATATCTTTCACCGGCGTTTTTCATATCACGGTTGTATTACACCACGAAACTCCATTGAACTGCCCTGTGATGCGAGTGATTTATCAAAAACTATAGAAAACGATCAACAACATTTGCTCCACTGCTATAGTCAGTGTTGGAATAAATGTTGCGCTTTTCTCAACTGAGAATCAAAGTTTCCTCACTAGCACGCCTACAGATCTGGGTAGAAATGCAGGTAAACTAGCGAGAATTATCTTGATTTTCCTTACAATTTCTACAAATGCCGACTACACATGTAGTTGACCATACCTGAGCCCACACCAAGCGAACGCTAATCCGATTGCGCCCATATGCTGATACATTTCAGAGTAAAATCTCTAGTCTCGAATATCTTAAGACGGACAGTCGAGGTAATATATCACGGAGTTTCACCCGTGATATGAGAGCCACTGCTGAAAAACATATTTCACCTTCCACTCGAACTTCTGCGACTGTTTCAGGTAAAATAGAGCGATCTATACAGCGTAATTCGCCGAATGTTTTCGAATCATCCCTTATCGCAAATGCCGCGCTTTTCACATAAAGAGTTATACACAGACCATTACAAGAAATTAACATCAAACACAACATGCACTATTCTTGTGAATAACAGGTGAAATCAGAACAGTGATAAAACAGCGCACTAACAAGCTCTTCTACGGCCGCATAATATCAACTATCAATTGAATCACTGAGAATCGATGACAGCAATCAACTCTCCTTATCGGCCTGGAACTTGGTCACATCATTGAAATTGATCTACCACTCTGGGGCATGCGTGCAACTATCACGCACAACAATAACACTAGCGCCACGTACAGACCTGAGAACACATCGATTCAACTCACAGACAAGAAGAACTTCATTATCTTACCTGGCGAGCCACTGACCCATCCTACCAGTGCAATCACTACTGGGACCAACAACTACGTAGTTGGACAGAGAATCACGAACGTACTGGGCGAGCTCAACCTAAGGCGAGAACACACATAACACAACAATAATAATCACATTCATGATGAATCTTAACGTGAATAATCACACTCATGAATCTCAACGTTCTCACATTCTAAAACGAGAACAATCTGTCACTAATTCCTACTTCAAAATTATCCACAGCGCGAATAATCACACTTATAAATTCCCACTTTGATAAAATTCCACAACAATGACAATCACACTCATAAATGCATATTTTTAAATAGAAAATCTAAAAATTATATTTTAATTCAAATATTAAATAAAAATCTAATAAATCTTTTAAATTGTATTTTCCGCAACATTGGTAAAGTTAGTTTGAAGTTCCACAATAACTACAATGTCGAATCCTTAGTGCAACATTCCACAACGAATAGCAAATTCAACAACGCGAATAACCACACTCGTGAACACCTACTTTAACATTATTGCTGGGAGGCCTGACAACATAGTGAGTGCTGACGCCCTTCTCCTCAGCTTCCTTATCAACGGCTTCCTTCACAGACTTCATAATACCATTACAAGCATTCGTAGTGATGTTCTCGACGAACCTGAACGAAACCACCATAAATTTCCCAAGGAGTGGTATCAAAACTACTTACTCAGGCGAGAACAACACTTGTCCCTCCGCGTTGTGGGCACCAGGATCGCTCATACTCGTGAGAAGTTGCTCCGGAAATGGTCTTGGAATATAAACACATTCGACATTATCACCTGACGAACAATTCATTGAAATAATAACAACCAGTGTGAGAGAATAATATGAAGATGGTCAACTACATGTGTTAGTCACAATATGGTGATTCTAAGGAAAACTTGTACAATTAGAGAGAAACCTCAGGAAGCGAAAACATATTCCTCCAACATTAATATCAACAGAAAAGCAAACCAACCTGATTTCGCGAGAGTCACCGCTTTCTTAGCGGCCTCAATACTCCCTTTCAAGTCGCTCGCGCCAACAGCAACGAGGAACCTTTGAGGAGCTACCGAAGCGGCTGCAGTAGCGAACGATCGCATAGCAGTGCATGCTAGAGGACGGAACATAGACATCGACATCACGAAAATAGAAAATTGAAAAAACCAACTATGAGTAAAAAACCAACTATGCGTAAAAATGCTAATTTCCAAACCACACCACTGCAAGGAATGAGGACAGGAACCGTACTAGCGACGCTTAAGCTGCATAGCTAGTGATGAAACACAAAAATGATATTCCCGCTTCAAAATTCGAGCGGAGCGAAGCGAAGTTTTTGCCACGAGAGCTAGAGGTGCGTTGCGTTGTGTTACTGATCCCTCGACAATACACTCCACCAGCAATGACGGTGTAATCCTCTATTTCTTACAGAGTGCCACAAACAAAAAGTGTTTTTGTCTGTAACTTGCAGAATTGAAGAAAAATATGGATTTTTTCTCCTGTGATATTGTACGATATTCACCTTTTCTCACTATGATTGCACGAGATATGTATATGACGCCCTGTCTATGACGTTAACTCGATCAATGATTCCGAATGTTGCTGTTGTTGTGCACTGAAATAAGTCGCGACGCTATGCTTATTAGGACTAAAACGTGAGGTCAATCCAACCCAGCCTCCTCCACAAAGAGCCCCAGAACGTTAGAGTCGATTGAGTTTCAGTTGCGCTTCCCAGCGGTCAGAACCAGCTCTAGTTACAGTGCGCACCACCTAGAGACCGAAAATAGGTGTGCAGAGGTAACTTTTCCTACAGAGCGATTTTCAAGCTAAAATTTTGAATATGAGCTCCGCTTATATAGTTATATTGCACCTTGGAACATGTATATTCGCGTACTGTACCAGTGTTGAGATATGATTTTGCTTTCCTCAGCTGAACTCAGGAGTTTTCTCTCCTATTGAAGAAGTTGACACACAAATTCTGGTGAGTATACAGAAACGAATAAGAATCTCTCGAAAGTTCCTCTGAATTTTCGTCCTATCACCAACACATGTAGTTGACCATGTGCATATTTTCCCACACTGCTAGTAGCTCATGCAAACCAATGATCGACGATGATGAACAATACCAAAGACTTGCTCGGAGAACTATGCTCACCTTGATTTGCATTCGTCTCACTCGCTGGGGGAGGAACTCTTTCGATGAGCGAGCTGAAATGGGGAGGTGTCAATTTGATATGATGCAAATGTGTGTTATTCTCCGAGATTAATAAGAATCGATCTGAAACTATATCGCATAAACAATGTAAACATTGCTATGAACATGTGATGTGATAAAAGTAACCTTTCGACTCGAAAGTTTCGAGACTATGATAGCGACAAGTTGTTCACTATCATTAATCCCGGAATAGAAAACACACATATCAACTTAGCACTCAGCACTGTATCCAAGTATTAACTCACCCATAGACCCACTTCAAAAAAGAGAATTGAAGGGCGACAGATCTCAATTTAATGTCAAGTTGCTCTCCAGTGCTCAACGTCCCGAATCGACTTCAACTACGTAATGTCGCAAAAGATAGCCGAGAATTTCACTGCTGGATATACCAGGGAAAAATCCAAGGCAGTTCGCTGCGTGAATCATCTATGTACGCGCGTACGAGGCGAGCAGCGTCACCGTTGTGCTCATCGAAGAGAGTCGGTGTCAAGCAATGTGGTGTTGGGTGTCTAGAAAATGTCCTCGACACATCCCCCAGAAGAAATAATGGAGTTTCACCCTAGTGATATAGAAAACACTAGTGAAAAACATGTTTCACGACTACTGCATATCACCGCGAATATCGGGTTTTTCACCGAGTATTACACCACTTCACGTAAAATGGCTGGCGAAACTCCAATATTCATACCAGATATTTCGAGTATAGGATCACCCTACACGTTTTCTATTAAAAAGGCCATGGCGAGGTGCTTTCTTTTCTTATTTTTTGGGAAAATTTGAAATCACTCTCACCAGGAATTGCTTCTAACCGATATGGAAGTTCTATATCGCGACTCGAATATTCAATGACCATAAGCATACACCACTTGTTATCGACTTCCGTTGAGTTTTCTCTCCCCAACACTCATAATAAACTCAATCCCGAGATGATAGATGCACGATACAATCCGCTGGTCATGAAATTCACATCGTGAGGTCCGCCTTCTGAGACTATCTCCTCGTCAGTTCAGATTCTCATCGGCACTCTTGCTCTGTCGGATCTGATAATCCTCTTGCCAGCTGATTGGAGACTACTGCATAAATTCAAAATGATTCTACGGTGTATCACAGAAACAGTGTTGGAAATTATGCACATACTCAACCACATGTGTTGGTGACAATATGTGATTTTTGGGAGATTATCCATCCACCCGAATTCGCATACAAGTGAGGAAACTTCTGGGCTCAGCTGAGGAAAGCGATCATATTGCCCAACACTGGAATCGGCAATTCACCAAAAAATCCTCCTCATATTCATCATCTCACCTCGAATATCTTATCTTTAATTTTTTCATACAAATCCTCCTCCGATTTGAAAACCGCCACACCATAATCAGAACAGTAGTGAGCGATCATTGGTGGCAAATCGTCGGAGCTTGTATGGAGTAGCAGCACAGATCTCGGCTTCCTCGCCAGCGCGAAACCCAAACTGACCTGACGACCAGTTTCCTCCTATGATTGAGCTCGCAACACATGCCGTTTCATAAGACTTTCCAGACACGTTTGGTTTCCTCATCTGCTCAGCTCAGGAGTTTCCAAATGTACTTCATAGAAATGAAGTGATTTAGACTGAAATTTTCTACCCTATTTCGTCTTATTTCTCTTCCAGTGATGTTTTCAGCCAAGACATACATACCACAAGCTGCGCTAGTCGTTGTTGAGATAAGAGATATTATGAAATTAAGTTACACTTATTACTCACAAATTTGACTTATCGATTGTATTGAAATCGCCGTTGGTTTTTTTCCACTTCTACCCTAAGTTGTATGGATTCAATGCTCACAAGAAAAAAAAACAAGTGGAGAAAAACCAACGATATTTTCCCACGATTTCCTCTGACTATGTGCATTTTTCCCACACCGCAAAAGCTGAACTCACTTGACATTTGACATCTTCCACCTCGAATATGCATATATCAGATCGCTCTAGTGCATCAACGTTCCACCTCCCCACCTGAGTACAGAGCATTCGCATTCACTACACAACCCGCTGAAAATTGAATATATCACATATACATAGCAGCTTGTTATGAGCTCATTATAAAACTTCCAATTATTTCATCTCGAGGGCGAGCGGAAATGAAAATAACAGTGTTGGAAGCTATGTTCGCCTTTCTCAGTTGAACCCAGAAATTTCCTCGCTAATTATACAAGTTTACATGCAAGAAATTCGCGTGTAAATGTACAGAAACCAATAATAACTTTCTCAATTTTCCTCAGAATTTTCGCAAAAGTCACCTACACATATAAATACCGGAAAATAATCCCCACAATGAAGACAGAAGCACCAACGCTTACCTCTCGCCGATCAGCTGTAGAAGATCTTTCGCCGTTTAAAGCTAATACGACTATCTGTTCAAACGACTTGAAAACATCATCGACTTCATCACTGAGCTCACCAACTCGTGAAATGGAAACTGCTTCTCCAAGGACAGTCCAATTTGAGCAAGCGTCATTCGCAAGTGGCGAGTTGTATCGGATTTCACTGACCAATTAGCAGCAATATACTTTAAAGATGCAACTACGAGTATTTCAAAAACCGAGAAACCTATAATATTCCCGGGGGGAACTCATTTTGAATTTCCAACATTCTTCAATCAGTTTCCCATGTAAATGTCATCACGTAAGGAACATCATTTTCCCCATTGTTATTAAACCCTGGAGTCTGAGAAAAACGCTTAGTTTTACCGCTAAGATAAATGATGGTCCTTTGAGTGTTACCAGTACTGACAGGTAATACTTCAGGATAGGCAACCACCTGAAGAAATTCCATATTCCTATGAACTTAACCGCAGTGTTGGAGTAGGAATATATGTTCGCTTTCCTCAGCTGATCTCAGAATTTTCCTCACTAGTTATAGGAATTCGGGATAAAGTGTACAAAAACCAGCGAAAATTTCCCAAATTTTTTCCTCAGAATTTCCGAATTATCGTCAACACACATAATTCACCACGTGAATATTTTCCCACACTAACAGCTGGTCAACAAAATGACGAATATCAATGACTAGATGAGCATACAAACAGCGTCCCCAACTTTCTCACTTGGAAGAATTTCGATTTATTTTCCGGCGCGAACCGCGCCATAAGATGCAAGTGATCGCTAGGGTATGTTGTGCATGGCAGAAGTGGACATTCCTCGGGCAATTCGTAAAAAGCCGATTCTAGTAGAGAACCTTTGAACCTACACAGATGGCATTCTACACCACAGGTGGCAAGTCCGTATGAAAATTATGGGGAAAAATTACCGAGGTAAACTAAACGTGTACACCTCCGTTAACCCACATACAGTGTGTGTCAATTTGATATGATGCAAATGTGTGTTATTTTCCGAGATTAATAAGAATCGATCTGAAACTATATCGCATAAACAATGTAAACATTGGTATGAACATGTGATGTGATAAGAGTAACCTTTCGAGACTATGATAGCGACAAGTTGTTCACTATCACTAATCCCGGAATAGAAAACACACATATCAACTTGGCACTCATCACTGTAATCCGGTGTTAACAGTCAAGCCCTCCGATGGCCGACCAGATGTAGTCGATGTGCCTGCGGGTCACAGGCTTCCCCTTGCGCTGTTGAATCGTCGTAGGGCGTAGTTGAGATTCTTCGAGTGGATATCTATGAATAAAATCAATCGATAATGAACTACGCGATGTGTTGTGGGTCCAGTTTGCCTTGTTTCTCATCAAACCCCCGCCTTGCTCTTTATAGCGAACGAGCCCAATATCGATTACTGTGCTGCTGCTAAGTGTGTGCATGCATACAGAACTCAAGTGCAGGTAGTGCGCTTATTGTTATTGTCCTAGGGTCGTAGTATTGGTTGCTCTTGTACGACCGAATATACTTTAGAAATACCTTGATAGTGCTGGAGGAATACATATTCGCTTTCCTCGGCTAAGCTCAGTATTTTCCTCATTGATTATAGAAGTTTACACGCGAATTCAAAATTTTCAGTAAATGTTTGTGTATACACTCACGCTGATTTCCAATCTGTAGACTTCAGAATGGTCTGAATACTTCCCTCCCATGGTTCAGCATTGAAGTCGCCGCACACGAGTACCTTACACGGGTAACAGTACAACCCAGTCGACTACTTCCAACACCAAATGGCAACAACAGTGTTGGAGTAGGAATTATTCCTAAGGAATATATGTTTGCTTTCCTCAGCTACTGAGCTCGAAAGATTTTCCTTACTAATTATACAAATTAGGATAGAAGGGTACAGAAACCATCAAGAATTTCCTCAGATTTTTCATATCATCACCAACACATGCAGTTGACCATGTGCATATTTTCCTGCCACACTGAGGAGAACTACATAAATTCACACTTTGGGTATATCTAACATTTCCAGGTCAAATTGTTTTTCACCGAAAATTTCAATTTTTTCCCATGCGGTTAACATTTTACCCATGGTTTTAAAATTGATTTGACCTGGAAATACTGTTAGCACTCCAGCGGATGTCCTTTTTCGAATATCTAATATTTTATGTATATAATTATACAACAATTCAATGGAGTGTCACAACCCGTTTTACCCGAAGTGGCGTAAAACTCGCGAAAAACGCGATATTCGCGGCGCTACGCAGTAGTCGTGAGATATGTTTTTCACTAAAGTTTTTTATATCACTAGGGTGAAACTCCGATGTATCATCAATAGTGTTTATCAGCGATACTTGTCTCCTGTAATTGAGTTATGATATTGATACCATGTAGTGAATATAAACATGGATATCAATACTAGTATTACGTTATATATAATGGAGTTTCACCGTTTTACGTGAAGTGGCATAATACTCTGCGAAAAAAACCCGAT